CATACCGGGCCATGTCTCCAATCGGAAGTGTCTCACTGCGCCTCTAATGCCGCGAGCTTGATCCCGGAGCTGCTGAGCAAACTCAGAGGCCTACATCACCGCTTTGTTTGCGTTGAAATGTCACAGGCCTAGGAATTGCAGCAGCTGTGTGCGGCCAAGCCACGACAATAACGTGATCGCTGTCTCACCGATGCCCTCCAAGGAAAACAAGAGGTCTGTAAGAGCCTCATGCGCATGTTGCAGAGAGGCACGCAGTCAACAAAACTTACTGTACCGAGCATGAGCTTGCGTCTTGCGGGCGTTTGCCATCAATGTAGGAGCAAATGCTGTCGAGTTCCGTGACAAAGGAATGAAACAGGAGCAAAGGCCTATTGGAAATGACTCGAGCCAGCCGCCTTAACCTAGAGTCGCTGCCTGCGCGACCACGTGCCTTACACCCGTCTCAGAGTCCGCCCAGAACCCTTGCCACAGAGGACGCTCAAGACAGTGCTTGGCCACAGCTCTGCCAGCTGGGCGGCGTCGATGTCACTTCTGCACTTCGGGGCATGCAGGGGGCAGGCACGATTTTTCATTTGCAGCGCTTGTCTCAAGGCCCACAGGAGATCATGTGCCTTAGGAGGCGGCAGCTAAGGCATGCATGTGCTTTCGACACTTGGACAGCAGCAACCTCTGGAGTGTAGTGTGGGCATCCTGGCATGCAGCTACAGCGAGCCAGCAAAGCCGGCTTCTGTGGTCTGGTGTCAGGCCTTCTGTTTGCTGAAAGTAATTCCAACCAAATTTAAGAAAATACACATAAATATCTATATCTATATCTATATCTATATATATATCTATATAGAGTATGTATCTATCTATGTATGTATGTGTCTAGAACTACATGCACATATCAGTCTCACACCTGTGTGATCGGTCTCGGCCGGAATGTGCAACAAGACTCAACCTTTTCAAGACAGGATGCACCCACTTGTCGGCCAAATCTTGGCTCTCTGCCACCAAGACCAGCCGTCGAAGGGGTGTCGGACCTTGCGTTGTAGGCAGCTTTTGAAGCAGAAACCCGTGCTTTCACCTAGAGCCCACCGAAAGACAAGAGCATCCCTGGCTGCGGCTGGGTGTTCGCTACGGAAATCTCGAAGGCTCAAAGCATGGCGTATGTCCGTCGGTCCGGTATGGCCCACACGTGGAAATCAGGCATCAAAAGCTCGGAATGCTATGCTAGAATCCGCTGAGGTTTCACTCCGGCGTCTTGGCGGTTTAACTAAATAAATACCCTCTACCTAATCCTTCTCCCTGCAGGTCGAAAGTTTTGTGACCCTGTTTTTGCAATTGCGACCCCCCGCCCCCGCTCCCCCCCTCCCACAGATCTCGCTTGCCCATCCCTTCCCTCCGCCCGTTCTCAGACAGCCCTCCCCTTCTCCGCCCGCCCAGGAGCTTGACTTCGTCAGGATCGCTGGTGGGCCCGGCGAGCGCTGCGAAATCTCGAGCGCCCTGGCAAGGAAGTTGTTGCGGCACGGCATCAGTATCTTATAGGGGCGACGAGGCGAGGATATGGTCGCAGCCGCAGCAGACCACAACCTACATGCTGACAAGCTCAGACCTTTTTTGGGACTTGAATCGGGGCTTCTGCCAAACTTAGGCCCCAAATCGATGTAGCGGTATGCTTGGTGACCTCAGCCTCTTTGCCGTTTGATCTGGTGAATTTCCCTTCCTTCACCGTTCGCTGCGCCTCCGCTCGCTCCCATACACAGCTTGGAATACGAGCTAGGAGTCGACCCCGTTGTGTGCGGCCGTTGATGAATGAGTATGCTCTTACATAGACCTGGGCCAGCATTCCGTGCAATGCAACGGAAGTGAACCAGTGGAACTGATTGCATTGTTCAAACCTCCACATGGTTATACCAAGCCAACCTAGCAAGCCTTGCATCGAAACGCATGTCTTCGCCTTCCCTCGAGGGTGACTGAATCTGAATTTCAGGCGGCTGCTTCGAACATCAGTCCGCTCCCGCCTGCTGGTGGCCTCGAGTTGCCAGGGCGCTGGTGGCCGGCGTGCCGCGCAGCAGCAAGGCTTATGACTCCTCACGGGACATCAAGCCGCACCACCACCACCACCATCATCAGCACTCTCACCACCTCTGGGACAGACAAGGAGCAAGTGGTTTGTGTACCTCTTCTTTGCAGCGCTGTCTTCCTGGGCGGCAACACCGTCACGAGTTACACATTCGGATATCCAGCCCCACAACCGCCCAGATCCCCCCAGGAACCCTTGTAGACCAAGCAGGCTCTCACAGCCTCTCGTTCGATTGACGGCATGTTGGAGTTCATCGATTGCTTTGAGCCAGGAACTCCGTGCAGTCTTTTTGTTGTTGAGTGGGATGAGTGCTTTTTGAGCTGCAGAGTAAACTAGTCTCGTGCACAGGCAGTGCACAGGGAGCTGTGTCTGGTCGTTGGTGCTCACATGCCTTCGAACAAAGACCTCAACAAACATACTTTGCGCATTCCTCCTTTACAAACAGGAGATGCCGTGCAACAAGACAGTGGAGCATACGGAGCTCCGGTTACAAAATTGGGGCGGAGTGGACGACAGCAACCCTTTCCGAGGAATGAAGGTGCAGCCGCTGCAAGGCGGGGCCTTTAGGAGAAGAGAAGCCGGGGAGACTTCCAGGAGAGGAAAAGTCAGTCATGGAGAAGCAGGGAGGGAAAGCGAGGATGGGTGCGGGACGGGTGGGGGGGGAGAGAGGAGAAAGCAACCGATGCGAGGGGATTGCTGTCGGAAGGGTTTTGCAATTGGGTGAGCAGGCTAGGAAGAAGCTTGCGGGTGAGAGAGGGAGGAGAGAGCGCAGAGATACAATTGGGTCTGGGGGCCATGCTCTGGCGAAGCCCCACCTTACCCAGCTCGCACATCACATCGAAGGTAGAGGGCATGCACTGATAAGACAAGGAGAAGAGACTGGCGTGATAGGATTTGAGGGTGGTCGGGGCTCAGCTCCTCATAAGTTGCGCAACAATCTCTCGACGGGAGCTTCACTTCTCGTAGATGCGGAGAAGCTTCTGCGAGTGCTGCAACTGCAACATCCTTCAAGTCAATGACATCCTCAGGATCAACATCGCCCTGCGAATCGGAAAAGAGATAGATGCGCTGGAGCACCTTGGTACAAGTAGGCAAGTTGCCGATGGCACCTGGAATGCAGTCCTACCTCAGTTCTAGTACCTCCTTCCACTTTTGTGCTCTCCATCACTCGGATCTCTGCGTCACCCGCCCTGTATGAGGAGCTGACCAGCACTGCCCAAAACCGCAAGCGACGTGCACCCTCCATCACAGCAATGAGCCTGGGAAAAGTCGCAGCTGGTGCGCAGAGACAGCACAAAGCCGGTGAAGCTCGGCGTGACACTGCCGACGCATCTATGCACTCAGCGCATGTTTCTTCGCTCCTCGGTCCAGGGCCCAGGCCATCCCTCGATATTCGGCTGGACGGGCAGCTTGGAGAATGGCGTGCGGGGCATGGGTTCCACGGAGATCTCTGTACAACCTCGGAGCTGGCGCTTCGGCTTCTACACAATGGTCTCCATTCCATACTATGAAACAAGTACCTGGTTGCATCCAAGCCCTTCTCAGAACAGGTTGTGATTCCATGCACTACCCCAAGATCACGTCCGAACTCAATTCCAAAACCCACGATATCAATGCAAGCCAAGTCTGCTGATGTCCTCGAACCAGGTCCTGCCCAGGGCGAACTAAGATGTACAGTACCGAGGTGTTCTTCTGAACAAATGAGCCTTCCACGGCACCTGCAAGCATACGTGCGCTCGCTCTCGCTCTCGCTCTCGCGCTCTCTCTCTCTCTCTCTCTCTCTCTCTCTCTCTCTCTCTTTCTTTCGGCAGGGCTAGAGGCAGGAGGGTTGCCCCCCCTGCCCGCGCGCCAGTGGCGCCCCCGACTGGTGCGGAGGGATTTGGGGAAACACATGCCACAACGAGGCAAATTTCTTGCCTTTCTGTGCTCAGTGACATGTCGCATAAAGAGGGCTATTTTCTTCCCTCTAAAGTCCTTTTGAAGGCGATCGGTTAAGCGAGAAACAAACAACGGGAAACCAGTAACGAGTAGACCAACCACCTCACCGCATGAAGAGGGGGGAGCCCCCTTCCATCTCGATCCTTCTGAAGGACTGATGTCTCTGAGTTGGGGCATTCAGACACGGGCAACAACAGCGAACAGACTAGCAAAGGCAAGACGTTGCAGATAACTAGTACTCCCCCTCAGAGATCAGGCGCCTACCCTCGGGTTGTGTTGAAGTGCCGTCACCAGAGTAAACAACCAAAACACCGAAAACCGACCAGAGACATGCCTGGCAAACCTTGAAGTGCCGTCACCAGAGTAAACAACCTGAAAGCCAAAACACCGAAAACCGACCAGAGACATGCCTGGCAAACCTGGGTTAACTCATCGAAAGCGCTTTACGTACATATTACTCATGGCCGAAGCTTCCGACGAGGGCAGCAAGGAACAAACGAGAAAACAAACCAGCGTTGCAGGAACGAGTACAGCCTCGGGCCATTCATGGGGCTGAGTCCTACCAACTGCTATGCGGGCGCAACTCTTGGGCTGCGGTCCAAGAGGACCGGGGCTTCATTTCTCCAGGGAAACGAGCCTTGGCCCCAGTCGGCTTCAGGGGGTTTTCCCCTCGGAAAGTACGCTGTGATCAGTAGTGCTTGTCAGTCGGACTCAGATGCGTCTTCGCTGGAGTTTGCCAGCGCTGCCTGTAGTCGCCGTCGACGATGGGAAGGTTGTCGTTCATGCCGGCGCTGTCTCGTCGTCCCGGGGGGCAGTCCCCCTTCTCTATTCATTGGCATCATGACTGTTTCTGCTTGGCTCGCTGGGGTAGCTCCCCCGTTCATTGCCTCTTCCATCAGGCTCGCTTCCATTTGGGTCGGTGATGTCTCCCCGGCTTCTCCGCTTTGAGAGTCCACCAGTTGGATGGGGTGGCCCCAGATTGCTGACGTCCATACTTCGAGGTTCGCGTATGCCTCGGTGACGATCACTGCTAGCTCTTGCTCGAGGAAGGGGAGTGCCTTCTTGAGCAGTTCTTGCGCCCGAAGTACTGCATATGGGGTGGCTTCCCCTGGGCGGCCATGTGGTTGTGCAAGTCGTGGGCGAAGGTCTTGAGGAGGTGGATGTCCTTCAGGTTGTCCAGGATCGTGTAGGGGAGGCGCTCGAGGACGGCGTCGAAGAAGTGCGGATTCATCCGCATGGGCTTGGGGATGATGTGCAGGTCGCGGGTTTTCGTAGACCGGGGCCTGTTGGCTCCCCGACGCCCTCTCCGACGTACGCTGCCTCTTGACTGGACTTCCTGATTGGTCCTCGAACTTGGTTCGCAGCCACGACATCAGAGTGTCCATGTACACTTTGCTGCGCTGTGCTGCTTCAGTTGCAATGAGGAGCGTTTCTCCAATCTGCGCGATGTTGCCTTCTTCGACTGCTAGGTGGGCCCAGTCCATAGCATCAAGCGCATTACGTATCCCCGCCATTCCTTCGTGAGCACCGGGAGCATCTGGGTATCTGGTCCACGTGGCAAAAACCTGTTTGGCATCCTTGAGCAGCTGTTCGACCCTGGCAATTTCACTGTATATGTGACGTCTTGGGAGCTCTCCGTGGTTTTGAAACATATTGTTGAGGGTAGCTTCGGCTTCGATGAGCGGGTTGTCGAAGGCAAAGATCGTGGTTGTAGCAGGCACAGCGTCAAGGTTGTCCCCCGGCGGCTCCGGTTGATGCGCCGATTGTAGCTGTGTGAGGTAGCCACATGCTCTATAAGCCAGTATGGTGACATCCTCGCTGGGCTGTGAAAAGGAGGCTTGCAAGAGATCATGGACCACTTTGGTGAGCGCTTGCAGGATCTCCAGTGGAGTTTGTGGCGCTTCCTCTGGGATCCACGCGTTGGCATCGCGCGTGGTGCCCGTGCTAGGATGCGCAGCACCAGCCGGGGGATGCCTCCCCGGTCCAGGTCCTCCTAGTGGTCTTAGGCTCTGCATGAGGGAGGTGCCATCCGAGTTGTGGTCTGAGACCACATTCCACTTGCTCTCCACCGTTGTCGACGTCGTTGAAGTAGAGGTCGTTGTTGGCTGTAGTTCTTCGTCTGGAGCCCTCCCTGATTCAGGGTCTTCGCTGGGCCAACTTGTCTCGGACTCCGATCCCGAGTTTGCCTCAGATTGTGGTGGTTGGGGGGGCCTGGCCTTGGGCACTGCGCTGCCATCAGATTGTAGTGGCAGTCCTGCTCTTCCTCGTGGCAGCGTTGCTGTGGATGGGGTACGCCCCCTTTGCATTCTCGTAGGCATACTCGATGAAGAGGCCGATGAGGATGAAGCTGGCATCGAGGGCCTTTCCCTCGATCCCCCGTTGTTACTTGGAAAGCCATGTCGCTCTGGGGGAATTGGTGGCTCAGGCTGCGAAACAGGGGGGATATTGGCATAGCCCCCTAGTCGGTCAATGTCCCCCTCGAAGCGTGGCCTGCGAACCCATTCACGCTGTGTGCCTTGCCATTCGAGGAAGAATTGGTCTCCCTCCTGTAGTTGTAGCTCCCCCGCGTTGACGGCGTTGGGGGTGGGCCCCACGATCACCAACCAAAATCTCGGAGTCCTGGCGAAGCTTAATTCGAAGCGGGTGACCGCAATCCATTCACCCACCGGGTATAGTGTCAGGGTAACCCCTGGCGAAAGCGTGGGCCCCATCCTCCAGGGAGTGCTCTCTCTCTCTCTCTCTCTCTCTCTCTTGCTTGCTTGCTTGCTTGCACGCCGT